CACCCCAGAAGTTACAGTTTCAGCCACTAGGACTTTTTTTTCTTTTCCTTTTTTTCATTTATTTATTTACTTTGAAACCAGGTTCCACTATATAGCCCTGGTTGTCCTGGAACTCACTTTGCAGTCTAGGCTGACCTCAAACTCAGAGATCCACTTGCTTCCGCCTCCCAGAGCTGAGGTTAGAGGTGTGCATTAGTACATCCAGCAAAAATTTAAATGACAGAAATGTGTGCCACATACCTGTAGGTGTAAATACCCCAAGAGGCCAGAAGAAGGCATTGGGTCCTCTGGAATTGGGGCTACAGGTATTGTGAGCCACCTGATATGGATGCCACCAACCTAACTTGAGTGTTCTTGACCTCTGTCTCAGTTAGGGTTTCTATTACTGTGAAGAGACACCGTGACCACAGCAACTCTTATAAAGAAAACATTTAATTGGGAAGCTTACAGTTCAGAGGTTCGGTCCATTATCGTCATGGTGGGGAGCATGGTAGCATGCAGGCAGATGTGGTCTGGAGCTGAGAGTCCTACATGTTGCAGGCAACATGAAGTCAACTGACCACTTGGTAGTGTCTTGAGCATAGGAAACCTCAAAGCCCGCCCCCATAGTGACATACTTCCTCTGGCAAGGCCACACCTGCGTCAACAAAGCCACACCCCCTAACAGTGTCACTCCCTATGAGTTTATGGGGGTCAGTTACGTTCAAACTCCCATAACCTCTGAGCCTCTATTTGTTTCTTAGATCTTTGATGATGAGAAAATGTGGCTGTGGACAGGAGCTTAGGTCAGGATGCGAGGGGAGCAGGGTGGGAGGAAGGATGGGGATAAAGTCGGAACATCTCTGGCAGCATTCTGGTGATAGCGGTTGCCTGGTATCGAGTGGCCCATCTCCTGAGATCGCTGACCTCTTCCGTGGAGCTCTGTGGTGACCCGGGTCCTCATGTTACCCGTGGAGCTGCTGAGACTTGCAGGCTTTGAACAGTGAAGGCTTAAGGGGCTGGATCCTGTGGGGGATCTCACCCTCTGTGATATGTAGATGTTTGGGGTTTTGTTGTTGTTGTTTGTTTGCTTTTTTGTTTTTTGGTGTCGAGACAGTGTCTCTCTGTGTAACAGTCTAGCTGTCCTGGAACTAGCTCTTGTAGACCAGGCTGGCCTCGAACTCACAGAGATCCACCTGCCTCTGCCACCCAAGTGCTAGATTAGAGGTGTGCACCACCACTGCCCGGCTTGATGTTTTAAATTGATTTTAAACCTGTCATCTGGAATACTGTTAAGCTTAGAGATGAGCAGGCAGTATGTTCACCCTGCAGGCCCCCCCACTCAGTCTCTCTTTCTCCCCTCTCACCCACATGGTATCTCAAAGCCTCCCTCGGTTTTCAGCTTTATGATTTCAGAAGCTACATACAACATCGCTAAAACATGGCTTAAGTGACCAGGGAGTCAGCTCGGCCGTCATTGTCCTTGCTATACAAACGTGAGGACCTGAGTTTGGGTCCCAGAATTCACATAAAAAGTTGGGTGTAGCCGGGTGGTGGTGGTGGCACACACCTTTAATCCCACCCAGCACTTTGGAGGCTGAGGCAAGTGGATCTCTTGAGCCCGAGGCCAGCCTGGTTTGCAGTGCAGCCAAAGTTGCACAGAGAAGCCACGTCTCAAAGAAAAAGAAAACCAAACAACAAGCTGGATGTGGCTGCCCAAATGGCTGTAACCCCAATACTTTCAGGAAACAGAGACAGGAGGATGGCCTGAGCTAGCTCACTGGTCACCAGCCCAGCTTCAGATTCAATGAAACACCTTCTCTCAAGGTAATAAAATAGAACACTTGATATTATCCCCTGGCCTCAGTTATGAGCACCGGGACACACATGTTGATACACATGTGCATATACACCTTATACACACACTACACACACGTAAGCACGCACACACTCACACACACAAACATTAGTTTTGATAATTTTGAATAATACTTAACATTGTTGCTTTTCTTGTTTTATTTTGCCATTATTTGCCCTGCTAGTCAGTTGACTCTCTCTCTCTCTCTCTCTCTCTCTCTCTCTCTCTCTCTCTCTCTCTCTCTCTCTCTCTCTCTCTCTGTGTGTGTGTGTGTGTGTATAGCATATATATTTACAAGTTGTGTGGGTGCTCATACACGTGTGTGAGAACACAAATGTAGAGGCCAGAGATTGCTGTCAGGTAGCCTTTCTCCAACACGCTCTACATTATCTGTTTGAGACACGGCCTCTCATCGAAGCCAGGTTCACTGACTGGCGAGCTGCTCTGTCTCTTCTTCCTCCCCCACACCAGGGCCACAGTACACTACCTCACCTGGCCCTTTATATGTGTTCTGGGGATCTGAACTCGGGTCCTCATGCTTGCGGGGAGGGCACTTTACCAACTGAGCCATCTTGCCCCTCCTTAAAAAATTGATTTTTTTTTGTGTGTGTGTATGCATGTGTGTGGAGGTGCACACGTGCCACAGTGGGAGCATGTGGAGGTCAGAGGTCAGCTTGTCAGAGGTAGTTCTTTCTTTCCATCATGCGAATCCCAAGTGTTGAATCCAGTCTCCAAGTCTTGGTGGGAAGCACTTATCTGCTAAGCTATCTCGTTGGCCCTAAAATGTTTATTTTAGCTAGCTCATGCTGGCCTGGAACTTGCTATATAGTCCAGACTGGCCTCACACTCATTTTCCTCCCTGTTCCTCCCAAGTGTGAGATTATAAACGCAAGTCACTAGAGCCTCTGTGTGTAGTTTTAAAATAACGAGCATGCTGTGAGGAAGGTGATGAGGGTTCGTTCATTCATTCATTTACTTAGTGGTCCTGGGTATTGAGTCCAGGGTCTTGGGATGCTGGACAAGTGCTCCACCACTGGGCTGCATCCCAAGCTCATTTCTTACCTCTTGTTCCAGGAGACAGGGCATCTCTAAGATGCCTAGCCTGGCCTGGAACTTAACCGTCGCTCCGGCTGGCCTGAAACTCTGGACCCTCCTCCCGCAGCCTCTCCAGTGCTAGGATCATAGGTGTGCACTGGTACACCCAGTGCAGCTGGGCTTTATCAGCTGCTATGGGGAGATGCATTTGGCTCGGCTCCAGGTGCTGGGTATGGGTTCCGGGTGCCTGCTGTGGCCCTGTTGCTGCTGCGGTGAGCCATTTCAGGCCCCGCCCTTCCTGCGCGACCATTCTTCCTTCAGCTCACTGGGACCAGGAGTTCCTGGAGCCCCCGGTGCAGCTAGCTGGCACAGGGCTCAATAACTGACTAAGGAAGGGGTTTGTATCAGTCTGAAGTAGGTCACAGGAAGCTTAGCCTGGTTTCTCCAGAGAGGACGGTCACGTGTCTCTTCAGTCCCAGATACTGCTGCAGTGTGTGTAGCCTGAGTAATAGTGACTCCGCACCAAGGCTCCCAAGTCAGAATGGGCCGGGCGTTCCCTAAAACCCAGCAGTGAGTCAGGTCCTCTCTAAGCTGGGTCAAGGTGACTAAGGTTTGGCACTTTGACACCAACCATCCTCTTCTGAACTCCAAGGAGCTCGGTGGGGGTCTCCCAAAGGCCCACTACCCTCAGCAGTGCTGAGTCAGAGCCAGCGGGCTTGCATGGCAATGCTGGATGCACGCTGTGGGATAGTCACAGCAGGGCGTATTTATACAGTGATGAGCGGGGGCAGCCCTTAAAGATGCGGGGATGACTCAGAACAGAGACAGCCCAGAGCACACCTGGCTCCTTTTCCAGTCCTACATGAGAGTGTTAGAAATCGGGGTGGCAGGAGAGACCCCAGGGCCGTGAAGGTAGCATCTGGGTTTTTATTGTTATTGTTTAAAACAGGGTTTCACTCCATTGCCTAGCGTCGCCTTGAACTCAAGGCAATCCTCTTGCTTCAGACTCCCGAGTGCTAGAATTGTGGACTTGCGCTACCATGTCTAGCTTGTCATGTGGGTTTGACATTGGTATATTTCTTTGGGCGTTAGGTCCCAGGGATCAGACACGGGCGTTGTGGCTAGACACGTGCTGTACGCTAAGCCAGACCCCCAGCCCCACTTATACTTCTGGACGTGGGTGTCAGCGATGGGGCAGGTGCAGCTTGCGAGAGCCCTGTGCCTGCCACACTTGGATTCCATGCATTTTAGGAGTGCTCATCTTTCCTCCAGGAGGTGAAGCAAAAACACAATGCTTTGATTGATAGTTCCAACCATGGAGCTGCCTGAGGAGTTCCAGGGTCAGCGTGGGGAGTGACCAGCTGATGGAAACCCATGGCCAGGGTGTTATGGAAGACTCTGTTGGTTCTCTGTGTTTCTAATGTCCCTTCAGTGACTAGATGACTAGTGATAGTGACCTTTGGGGGGCTGGAGGTGTTCTGTGAGAGCTGTTTGCTGGTACAAACACACACAAACGCACGTGTGCGCGTTCACGCGCACACACTCTGAAACAGTCCTCTTTCTGCCCCCACCCTGATGTCCCTCTTCTGTGCCTTCCAGCTTTTTGATCATGTCGCTGAGTGCCTGGGAGACTTCATGGAGAAAAGGAAGATCAAAGACAAGAAACTACCCGTGGGATTCACCTTTTCTTTCCCCTGCCGACAATCCAAAATAGACGAGGTGAGGATGCCTTGGGGTTGATTGGTTTCCGAAGATGGCAACCATGCCCTCAGGTTTCCCCTTGCTTTTATGGGTGACTTGCATGCCTCATGGTTTTGGAACCAGTTGCCAAAATTAATGTGAGCTTGTGGGGTCGTGTTTCTTTTCCTTCCTTACGCCTCACCCCACCCCCAAACCTCTTCTGAGGGGGGCAAATGCATCCCAGGCTGCTCTCTGGATAGTAGCCTAGGATGACTTTGAACTTGTGGTCCTCCTTCCTTGCCTGGTTTATGTGATGCTGGGGACTGAACCCCGAATCTAGTGCACGCTGGGCAAGCACTCTACCCGCTCAGCCATGCCTCCAGCCTGTTCTGCTGACCAGTTGCTTTAGTTGCTGGTGTAGTTTTAGCGGTCAGTTATGGTACTTACAGCCACCCGGTGGAGGGAGCCATTGATGGGGCTCTCGTAGGTGAGCAAGGTAGACAGGCTCGACAGCTACGCAGAGAAGCGATATCGGGACTGAAGTGTGTTTACCTGGAAGCCACATGGCGACTGCGAGTCTGGGCAGGTGCTGTGCCTCGGGAATCAGGATGTCTTCCTTAAGAGAAACCTCTGGCTTCCTTGTCGAGCTCCCAGGTGGCCGACTTGTCCCGGCAACTTTCCTGTTTGCTGTTTGTTCATTCATGCATCTGTTTGGCAAGGATACACTCAGCTCTACCCCGTGGTAAAACTGCTCCTCAGAGAGCTGCGAAGAGGTGGAAAAAGTAGGCGGAGCTTGTTCCTTTTCTATGTGAAGGGTCAGAACAAGCCTCCACCCCAGTGTGTGTGTGTGTGTGTGTGTGTGTGTGTGTGTGTGTGTGTGTGTGTACCAATGCCAGTTAACTCTGAGGGCCCAGCAGGCCCCAGGCCCATGTTTTCAAGTGCACTTCACAGCTAACACATAATCTCTGTGAATTAAGTGCTTCTGAGCCCCCTTAAGGATGGAGAAACTGAGGCTTGCCTGCAGCCCAGGAGCCAGCAGAGAATGTGATTTCACACCAGTCTACTTTACTGCAGCATTTGGGTACCGGGTGTCCTGCATGCTTGCTTTTCGGCAGTACCTGGACCCCTTTGTTGATGTGGTCCCTGTTGCTGCTTTTCCTGACGCCAGAGGCTGTGCGTTTGTTTGACTTGCAGAATCAGAAGGGCTCAGTAGATCTTGTTTTAGGATAGAGAGCCGAGGCCTTCACGGGGTGACCCGGATTATTCATGATTGAACCGGGAGCTGTGGATTGCGTTGGGTGGGCTACTCAGTCTAGGGGTTAGTAACCCACCCTGCAATCCAGTTATTCCAGGGTCTCGGAGGGGCGCTACCTGGAAGGGAATGAGCTAAGACAGAAGAACGGAGGCCAAGCAACTTTGTCAAGGCCTCGGTTTATTAGGGACGGGTTACAGTTTATATATGGTAAGGAATGGGGGGCAGGGTACGGGATCTCGCAGGCTGCGTGGTTCCGGTCACGTAGCTCGGTTACATTCAGACAGACAGGCCAGAAGTCACAAGTGGCCACACCTGGTTCCCTGGATAGCTGGAATGTGAGGCGGGTTCCGCTAAGATTAGCAGTTAACTGGGTGAGGGGCAGGTTTTGACAATAGAACATAACTATGGGTGTGAGGTTCTCTGCAGACTCCCTAGAGTGATGGTTCCTGTAATGATTGTTAGGGGGGAAATGGCTCCTGACAGGGAGCACCTGGGTCTTACCTTGCATTTTGTGCCCCCCTCCCTTGAGTACCTCTGAGATGTTCCTGTCCCCACTTCTCTCCATCTGGAACTTGGGTAAGTCCCATCTAGACTCCCTAGATACCTGTCAGTTTGATACCTCCAAGCTGTTCAGAGCAGTTGGGCCCCCAGAGTACCTCTCCCAGCCCTTCCTCAATGCTTGCTATTGTGTGATAACATGGGAGGGAAGGTCCCAGTTCCTCAGAAGGCGCCTAAACTTAGATCATGCTGAACTCTGTGTGTGTGTGTGTGTGTGTTTCTGCCAATACTTTCACATCACTGAGAAAGTTTAGTTTGTACATTAGGCACATTAAAAGATTCATAACCATTGCTAATGATGGAACAGTTCGGTTTACTATAGCAAGAGTTATGTGAAGATATGTTCTCAGAATATCCAATTGCTGGGCAGAGATCCCACTCAGTTCAGTGCTTGCCCCGTAGGCACGAAGCCCTGGGGTTGATCCCCAGCTCGGTACACGATGCTCGTAATTCCAACACAGTCATAACCCAGGACTTGGGAGGTGGAGGCAGGAGGATCAGAGGCTCAAGGTCATTCTCAGCTGTGTAGCAAGTTCAAAGCCAAAGTGGTCCACATGAGACCCTATCTCAAAAGGTCAATTAGAGACCTGGCAGTTGGTCTAATAACCGAGATGGCCGCTAAGCGACCAACGTGACAACTAAGTGTCTAACAGGCACTGGGCCAGGCCCTGAGAGAGCATGGCTAGTGGATATGGCCTGGCCTCCACAAAGCAGTCTTTGAAGCAGGGAGGAAGGGGTAGCAGGAGGGACATCCTCCTGGGGACAGGAGCCTGCAGGATGGAACAGATGTGGGTATGGGTGTTGTGGGCAGAGGAAGAGCCGGAAGTGTGACTTACCTACCAACCCTGACCCCCACGGAGGAAGGGTTCAAGGCTGGGACCGCCATTGCCCAAAGCTAAACCAACTCCATTCTTCTCAACATACAAAACGTTCCTCAGGGGAATGAGATAACACCCACCAGGAAGTGGGTAGGAGCTTGGCTCCAGTCACCCAAGTCCGTGTTTGTTTCAGTGGAGGCTGAAGGGAAGAAAACAGCGACCAGGGTCATTTCTAATGCTGGGCTTAGTCATTCTTGCTCCAGAGTGTAGGATCACAAACTCAATGAGGGTTTGCCCACTCCTGTGCAGCCCGTAGTCTGCACGCCTCTCAGAGCCAGGTCAGGCCCCTCTTCTTTGTATAAGCCCTGGGAGGCTGGCAGGGCCTTGGCAATGACCATGGCAAAGCTGCTGTGTCTATAGCAACCTTCCCCACTGAGAAAAGAGCGGCCAAGTAGGGCTCTTTTATTCTCTCTTTTACTATTATTTTTTTAAGGCCATGTGTGAAAACCATTGCAGTGATACAAAGTGTAATGCCGAGCTAAGTCCCAACTCACGCATGCTCCCGGGAACGCAGCCTAGTCAGCCTCTCTTCTGCTTGCTGTTGCTCCACGAACGTGCAAGCAGAGATGAGCATCGTACTATCCTACTATCCGATGGTGGATGCGTCACGTACAGATGGGGTGGAAGGCTCAAAGCAGCACAGGTCCCACAGTGCTTCAGTACCACGGCCCTGGCAAGGCTAATTTGCTTAGCATGGCTTTTTCCTCTTTTGTTTGGTTGTGGATTGGAATTGAGGCCTGGCTGAAAAGTTGAGGAGGTGATCCATCAACCAGGTCTTACTGGTTTCTCTGACTCTCTCTCCCATCGGTTTTAAGTCTGTGTGCTTTTGGGGAGCACCTTTACCCAGCGAGCCACCTTGCTGGCCCATTGCTTTCCTTGTGTCCCACAAAGGTCAGGCGAGGGTGTCAGATCCTCTGGAACTGGAGTTACAGGTGCTTGTGAGTCATCAAATACGGATGCTGAGAACTGAACTCAGGTCCTCTCCCCAGCTACCGAGTACTCTTAACTGCTGAGGCTTCTCTCCAGCTCTTTTGAATGGGTCCTGGCTGACATCCACCTGGGTGTGCATAAGAGAGATGGCTCCAAACCGGAAGACCCCGGTTCGATTCCCAGTACCCACATGGTGGCTCACAATTGTCCAGTTCCAGGGGATCCGACACCCTCACACAGTCATACACGCAGACGAAACACCAATGCACATAAAATAAAAATAAATAAATCATTAAAAAAAAAAAAAAGCTGCCCCAGAGAACCCATTAAGTGGATAGACAGCTCTGGCTCCAGTGTGACTTGGTAGAGGCCACTTGTCACTGAGGGCGTCTGCTCTGTCCCCGTGCAGGAGTAGCCCCCAAGGCCTCATCCACTTTCTCACTTTCTTTTGCAGGCTATCCTGATCACATGGACAAAGCGGTTCAAAGCCAGTGGTGTGGAAGGGACAGACGTGGTCAAGCTGCTGAATAAAGCCATTAAGAAGCGAGGGGTAATTTCTCTTAGGTTGTGCAGATTCGGGTATGGGACAGTCTCCATCTTAAAATGGCGTACCGCTCATGCTGCCCGGAGGGGAGGGACACGGAAGTTCTGTGGTCTGAACACCCTGACAGGGGACAAGTGAGAATCCCAGCCCAGGGGAGCAAGTCAGATGGGAAGTCTCAGAAGAGCCACCAGAGGTGGCCTGCGGCAGAGAGACCCTCCGGGGTAACCTGCTGGGATTAGAGCACTGGACACTGCTTTCCTCCTGCGCATGCGCATGCGGAATTGCCAGCTGCGCTTTGGAGGCTTGCAGAGGAATGTAGGTAGCTCCGCAGGAAAAATACGCTCCCCAAAGAATCCCGAGCCAGATAATTAAGGGGACCTTGCAGTTTCCATAACGTAATCACCACTCTCTAATCCAGTTAATTGAGTCCTGGCTGCAGTGAAGCCGGCGCCACCCACTAGCTTGGTAGCGTGTGAGAATTGAAGCATGCCTGCCAAGCTTATCTCTGGGGTTGGGATTTCTGCACCCATGTGGGAGCTGATGGTGACGTTCTCTTCATCGCTGGTCCCCAGGACTATGACGCCAACATTGTGGCTGTGGTGAATGACACAGTGGGGACCATGATGACCTGCGGCTACGATGACCAACAGTGTGAAGTCGGCCTGATCATTGGTAGGTGCCCCCTGAGCTCCGTCCTTTGCGCAGCCCATGAGGTCCCCTCCCCTTCCGTGTGTGGTCACGACTCCCCACCTCGTTTCTCCCAGGTACTGGCACCAACGCTTGCTACATGGAGGAGCTGCGACACATTGACCTGGTGGAAGGCGATGAAGGCAGGATGTGCATCAACACGGAATGGGGGGCCTTTGGGGACGACGGGTCCCTGGAAGACATCCGGACCGAGTTTGATAGAGAGTTAGACCGGGGGTCCCTCAACCCTGGGAAGCAGTTGTGAGTAGACTTTCTCTTCCCAGCTACACATCTAACTTAAGAAGCACTTAGCGAAAGATTGGGGGGTAGACAGGAAAGCTATAAATCCAGGTAGCCACAAATGCTGTCACCCATTGGTTTGGTTTGGTTTTGTCACACGGGTGTGGACCACGGGGCTCTGGCATGCTAGGCAAATACTCTACCACCGAGCCACATCGTCAGCCTTTAAACTGTATTTTCTTTGTTTTGAAACGGAGTCTTAGGTTGCCTAGCTTGGTCTTGAACTTACAGTCTTCCAGTCTCAGCCTCCTGCGTAGCTGAGATGACAGGCTTGCACTATTAGCCCGCCCTCTATTTCAGATTTGCGTGACCGGACTGTTCTTGCTTGGTTAGCTGTACAGCTATGGAGTTCATACCTTTAAAGGCAAGATGGCTTAGTAGGTGAGGGTGCTTCGTGTGTAAGCCTGACAACTTGAGTTCGAGTCCTGAAACCCACGTAAAGATAGGAGAGAGCCACAGCCGCAGAGTTGTTCTCTGATCTCCATGTGTGTCATGGCATGTGCACCCATGAACACATAAATGTGCACACACACACAATAATAACAATTTTTTTCTTTAAATTTAGAGCTGGAGAGATATCTTTGTGTTGAGAACCCTGACTGCTCTTCCAGAGGACCTAAATTCAATCCCCAATGCTCACACGCTAGCTCCAAACCATTTATAACTCCAGTTCCAGATTTGCACACAGTTCTGACTTTGACGGCGCCAAGAACACACCTGGTACACAGACATACAGGCAGGCAAAAATCTCCATACATATCAAGTTATAGATTAATTGACAATGTCAAATAACATACTTTCATTTAATCCCCTTATGATCGGGACAAGCGATGTAGCTCGGTTGGTAGAGTGCCTGCCAGGCATGCACGAGGCCCTGGGCTCCATCCCTAGTGTGCCATAAACTGGGTGCAGCGATACGTGTCTATAGTCCTGTCATCCGGAGGTGGTAGACGAGGGTCACAAGTTCAAGGTCATCCTGTGCTATATAGTATATTCAAAGACAGCCGAGGCTACCTACATGAGACTCCCCATTTCAAATGAACTTATCAATAGCTTTGGAAGTGCCAGACACAGGCAAGGTCGTAAGCACTCAGTAGCCAGATTTTATGGTCATGACCTGTGTGAACACAGGTCCTCTGTAGAGGAAACTAAGGCCTAGATGTGCAGTGGCAACAGAATTGAGAGGAATCTGGCTGTCGGGCTCTGCTTGCTTTCTGCCAGCTCAGGGATTCCAGCCTAGACTTGGCGGGGCTCTTCCCACAGAGCCCGGGCAGTGGCTGAACAGCCAGGCCATGGAGCTTTCCACTCCCTTCCACTCTCTGGAGCCAGGCGGGCCTGCCTGGGCCTGTCAGAGACAGGGAACAATGAAGACTGTGTTTGGAAGGGGACCATGTGCTGTACCGACAGGCCAGGCTGGGTGCTCGAGGGCCCGGCAGCATCTTTGGCTGCTGGATGGCTCTGACTGGAACAAACTGTTTTGCTGTGTCACTGCCAGGCCTGGGGGTGCCAGCCAGCCACCCTCAAGAGGAGGTCTCTGGTCTGCTTGGCTTAGGGGTTCCTTCCGGTCTGACTCAAATATGGTGTCAAGCCCCGGAAGCTCCCAGGATCCTCAGACTGAGTCTTCAGGTTGGCATGTGCTCTTTCCATCCACAGACTCCCCTATGGACCAGAATCAGATCTCATACCACATTCATTGTGAGATTGGCCTAGTCCTGAATTTGGCCAGAGCAGTGGGGTGAGCTGATTGGCCTTCAGCTACCCAAAGCCCACCTCTGACTGTTAGAGTGAGGCCAGTGAGCAAAAGGATGCTGTGAGGGGCTGGGGATGCAGCAAGGCTGGTAGTGTTTGCATAACACACACACAGCCCTGAGTCGGAACCCCAGTACTGTGTAAACCAGACCTCATCGCACACACCTATAATCCCAGGCCTCCTGGAGACAGGAGACTCAGAAATTCAAGGTCATCTTTGCTGCAGATCAAACTTGAGACCAGCCTGACTTTGTGAGAATTTGTCTCAAGAACAAAACCAAACTAACTAACTAAACAAAAAACCCGAAACCATCAGACATAGAGACAGACATCTGTTGATCTCAGCTACTTACCAGTTCCAGGTCTCAGCTCCTGCACCCAGAAAGTGAAGATTTAGGGCTCCAGGGCTGAGGGGTCTGAGTTCCAAACCCAGATCTGCTGTTGCTGTTCTTCCATGAATAGGTATATTGACTTCTCTGAACTTCAGCTTCTCCATGGTAGAGCGATCCTCAGGGGCCCATGTTATTGGGAAGCTTCCGGGCAGTCGTGCTCTGAGGGCCTAAGTCCTGTCCCTGATACCTGTCATCTCCAGCTTCGTCATCAAGCACCAAGGCTGTGATCAGCATATGTACAGGGGTGGGGGAAGATAGTCCTGCTCTTGCAGAGGACCAAAGTTCAGGTTCCAGGATCCATGTCAGGCAGCTCAAAACCACCCTCTGTGAGCACAAATACTCCGGCACACAGACAACATACACACAACACATAATTAATAATTTTTAAAACAAATGTACAAGTAACCACTTTCCTCATGGAGAATAGCTTCCCCCACCTTCCAAAATAGACTTTTCCTCTTCTATAGCATAAATTCTAATTTATTTTTATTTTTTTGATTTTTTTCAACACAGGGTTTCTCAGTGTAGGTACGCCTGTCCTGGAACTTGCTCTGTAGACCAGGCTGGCTTCTAACTCAGTGCTCCGCCTGCCTCTGCCTCCCAAGTGCTGGGATTAAAGGCATGTGCCACCACTGCCTGGCTAAATTCTAATTGGTCTTAATAATAAAAATTTGGAGTCAGCTATCAGGGTGAAAGCTGAAGGGTCAGAGAAGCAGAGCAGCCAGTTACTAGAGTTCTTACCTCTGCCAATGCTCAGACCAAAGGGGCGACCCTGTCCTCGGACTGACTGCTTCAGATTGCACTCAGCTCCTGTCCCCTCACTGCCTTACATTCCTCTTCACCCAGCCCCCAGCCATATCATTCTGGCCTCCACCTCCCTAGTGCTGGGATTAAAGGCAGGGGATCCCAAGTGCTGGGATCATCTTTACGTGAGCTCTGTTTCTCTTTTAGACTGGGTCAGTTTCCTGTAGCCCAGGGTGACCTTGAATTCACAGAGATCCCTCTGCCTCTGTGAGTCCTGGGATTAAAGGTGTGTGCCACCACCACAAGTGGCTTAGCTTGGCACTCTGATCTTCAGGCAAGATTTATTTGTTAAAACACAAACAAAATATCACTACACACATCTTCTGAGCTGGGCATTTCCTGGCTACCTCCGTTCTGGAAGGCTCTGTGGTATAGTGCTAGGAATGACGGTCCCATGAAAGTACGTCATGCGGTTGTGTAAGCGCCCCTCTCACCTGCCCCCCAATCTAAATCCTAACAGTTCCCTACCTCCAGGCAGCCTTCCTCACCTGTCCTGCCCTGCAGTGTCCTGTCCTCCTGGGTGGCCACCCTGTCTAGAATCAGCGACCCGCTGTTGAACCGCACCAGTGACCTTGCCTACCACAGAGCCTGGGAGCTTGAGAGAGAGGCAGTGGGTCCCTTCTGCTTTTCCGCTGTCGAATCCTTGAATGCTGACCCTGGTGTTGGAAGAGAGGGAACTTAGATACCTATGGGATTCGGATTCCCTCCTGCAGGTTCGAGAAGATGGTCAGCGGCATGTACATGGGGGAGCTGGTCCGGCTCATCCTGGTGAAGATGGCCAAGGAAGGCCTCCTGTTTGAGGGGCGCATCACTCCGGAGCTGCTCACCAGGGGCAAGTTCAACACGAGTGACGTGTCAGCCATTGAAAAGTAGGTACCGTCTGGGGGCTTAGGAGGGAGGCAGGGGCCTGCTAACTCTTGACTGGGGACAGCTTCTCCCCAAACACCAGGCTCCCTGGATCAATCTCCCCTCACCCTCAGGAGCCGGACCTAACCCCGCTGGTTTATCTACACAATCTTTCTGCTAAGGTCTTTAAAAAAACGGAGGGGTCTAGAGAGATGACTCAGCAGGTTCAGTCCCCAGCACCCTCATGGCAGCTCACAGTCACCTGTTTCCAGGGTTCCAACTTCTGGCCTCTGCAGGTGCCGAGCACGTGTGTGGTGCACCAGAAAAACCACAGACATAAAAAAAAATAAGTCTTAAGAAGAAAAAAAAGAAATAACTTAGTACAAAACACACACATCTCACACACACACCACAAACACACTGCACACTCGCTCACTACACATCCACTCCCTAACCTGACCTTCCCCACCCATGTAAGATTCTAATCAATGAAGCCGGTGATTCTAGTGTTGAGCAAGGGACTGACCAAAGCTGGGCCTGGATTCTTGGAATTCCCTCTTGGTGTATCATGGCCTTTCCCAAATTGTGTTCTATGGAACCTAGAAGCATCCAGTCAATGACTGGATAGTTCTGTGGCCTATTCATTAATTAGGATACCAATGAAACCTGACCACTGTGGCTAACCCAACATTACCCAAACTTCTTTTGAGCCCAAACTGCCTCCCTGCTTCCATATGTTCTCAGAGAATGCCTGTGGACAGCCATGTTCCCTAAAACCCAAATTTAGGAACTACTGGCTAATAAATAGATAAGGAGAAAGTCCAGGCAGCATCCTGGCCTCTGCCCTTTGGCATCCCATGGGATGCCGAGACTCTACCGTCTTGACTGTTAGGCACAGACCTGCCTGCAGTCTGAGAGACTCACAGTGTGGTGCAGCTCAGGATCCCCAAGCCTAAAGGACTCGTGTGCCGTGCATAGCTTCTGTGTTCCACCGGGTCCAGGAGGCTTCGTGTAGCCACGGGAGGCCATCAGCAAGACGCGAGGCAGCTTGCTGCTCCGTGTCATCGGGTCCCCACATGAGTTACCTGCAGCGTGCCCTCACTGGTCCTAGGAAATTCACATCATGCCAGCAAAACTTTGCTTTGGCTCCAACAGTTTGAACATAGCTGTCCCTGTGGTTAAAGAAAGAGGCCACCAGGAGGACGAGCACTTTCCTGCACTCCCGCTCTTGGCCTGAGCCTTTGTTGGAGTTTGTCATTGGGTTCTCTTTTGGCTCTGGTCCTGAGATTCTGTGTGCAGGCTGTAACTTAATTTCAGAGTCACTGGTGAAGTCCTTGGCCTGTTTCTGCCATTGGGTCTTTGGTTACTGCGAACCATAACTGCAAAGAGAGGGAGGGGGATAGAGAGATTTTAAAAACTAACCTGAAACTAAAAAGATACATAAAACATGTATATGCAGAAAATTAGAATTTTACAGAAAACATCGGGACATACTTGTAACCAACCCAGAGCCTCATGAGGAGAGGTTCCCCTTCACTATGAGCACTAACTCCCGGGCGGAAACAGTTCTACTTGCTCACAGGCTGTGTGTGCGGTCTCCCCTCTCTGAGGCCTGGCATGATGTAGTGTTTCCACCAGCCAGATCCTTCCTTAGGCAGGCGCGCCCGTCCCAGGTGTTTCACAGTGCCAGGCTGCATTTAGGGTTCTGCCTTCCCCAGCTTTGCCTCCCAACTCTGGTGCTTGCTCTCCACAGCCTGGCATGGTCCCGAACTCACGAAGTTTGGCCTCTCACCTCACAGGAATAAGGAAGGCATTCAAAATGCCAAGGAAATCTTAACCCGCTTGGGAGTGGAGCCGTCTGATGATGACTGTGTCTCAGTCCAGCACGTATGCACTATCGTCTCCTTCCGTTCAGCCAACCTAGTGGCTGCCACGCTCGGGGCCATCTTGAACCGCCTGCGTGACAACAAGGGCACAGCCAGGCTTCGGACCACAGTTGGTGTGGATGGTTCTCTCTACAAGACACACCCACAGTGAGTCCAGCCTATGTTGTATTTATTTATTAGTTCCCCCTGTCTGAGACCAGGGCCCTTCCAAGAGGGCAGACTGCGCACCCACCACGGGTATGGTTCGGGAAGATAAGACAGTGGGGAGTGCCTAGTTCCGGGAAATCGGGCTAGGAGTTGCTCACGTGGGACGTCCCACCCTCGGTGTCTTCTCACGTATCGTTCCTGCAGTCTACTTCTGGGTCTTTCACTTCCCAAGGTGAGATAGAGTTTTCTCTAGACAGGAATGTGAGGCGTCATGTGTCCGCAGCCTGGCTGCATTTTATCCAGAGGGATGGCATCCCCTTTAGAACTGGAACTTAAGGCGGGCCGGGTGGCACATGCTTTTAGTCCCAGCACTCGGGAGGCAGAGGCAGGCGGATCTCTGAGTCTGAGGCCAGCACGTAAACAAAGACTACCTTGCAGCAGGTGTTTCTCATTTCAGAATTACTAGAAACTTGAGACCATTTAAAAAGTTTCTGAGCCAATAGAAATCATTCTTAATCCGTTCCTTGGAGGCTATGACCGCTGGTATTTTGGGGAAACGGCTTTTCCTGTTTCCTTTGGCAGGCAGCCTTCCGTGCGGCATGACACAGTTCTGTGTTTCATGCTGGCCTAAGCTTTTCTTCTAGGGAGGAGGGGAAGAGCTGAGTGGAAATAAAAATAGAACAAGAGGGGTGACTGAGCCCTGTCTCTGCACTAGTTCCTTCTGTCAGCTCCTCACTAAACCCGTGTGTGTCTCAGCACTCCACCTTCAGAGCTGGTCTCTGGAGTCCAAGGTCAATACTGGCCCAGGTCACTTGCCCTGGCGGCAGCAGTGCTCACTCACCCCGTTTCTCGGATTGAAGCACTTGCCTTGGCCCCGGTGACACTTTTAATACAGCAGAGGAAAGAACTCCCCCTCCCTTTCTTTACTTTTTATCATTTGAAACAAAGTCTTTCTGGGTAGCCCAGGCTGGTCTGAAATTGACTGGTCTGGAGCTAGGGGTGGCAGGCTTTCTGATTCACACAAGATGGTATGGGCCCTTGAATTTTTTTTTTTTGTAGGTAAAACTCATTGTAAGCAGTTTTGGATAATCTCCCTTTCCGTGCTTGTATGTGTGCGCTCGTGCGCGTGCACGTGTTACGCATTCCTAGAGTGTGTGCCTAAGGAAAGCAGTAGAAAGAATGGGATTAGCATTGCTGACTGGAGAGTTACCAGATACCCCTTACCAGATGCCCCGACAGGTAGCTTGGTCCGACCGCGGCGGCACACCCACTTCCACCTTCTCCCTCAGGTATTCCCGGCGTTTCCACAAGACCCTGAGGCGCCTGGTGCCTGACTGCGATGTGCGTTTCCTCCTCTCAGAGAGCGGCAGTGGCAAGGGGGCTGCCATGGTGACCGCAGTGGCCTACCGCCTGGCCGAGCAGCACCGGCAGATTGAGGAAACCCTGGCCCACTTCCGCCTCTCCAAGCAGAACCTGATGGAGGTGAAGAAGAGGATGCGGGCAGAGATGGAGATGGGGCTGAGGAAGGAGACACACAGCAAGGCTACCGTCAAGATGCTGCCTTCTTTTGTCCGGAGCATCCCGGATGGGACTGGTGAGGGCTTGTTGGGACTGCCACCACCTCTGTCCCAAGAACCAGGGGGGCTGGATAGGGGACATTTTGGACCCTCCCAAGGATGCTTTTGCACTGGTAATGCCTAATTTGACAAGAGCTGGAATCTTACCCATCCCTGTGTGTGTGTGTGTGTGTGTGTGTGTGTGTGTGTGTGTGTGTGTGTGTGTGCGCGCGCGCGCGCGCGCGCGCGCGTGCTTGCTCTCTGGAGTTTGAGGCCAGCCTCAGCTATATAGTGAGTGTGTTTGGGGCCAGCCTCAGCTACATGAGACAGACTAGTAGAAGAATTCACACAGTCCTCTTCTTTTCAGTAGTAGCAGGGTATGTGTGAAGGAGATGGACAGGTTGGAGAAGCATCCTGCCCCTCACTGCCGCTACTTCTGAGGGAAAGATTTTTGAGTGGATCCTCAGAATAATGACTGGGGCAGAAAACGAATCTTAGAGCTAAGTTACTTATTGCGTAAATTTGTAAACTACTCTCAAATTTAGTGGCATAGATCAACTACCATCTACAGTGGCCGCGGGCAATTCTGCTCCAGGCCAGGCTCTGCTGAGGGTCAGCTGAGAGGCCAGCCTCAGCCTTTTCTGGATACCCAGGGTCAGCGTGGCTAGCCATGGCTTTCCCACCAGTGGGCTACTGCACTCTACCGATGGGTCGAAACAGGGTCTGGAAGCCACAGCTTGGACCCCAGAACCTCCAGAAGAAGAGAAATAGGTTCCTCCATTTTTCAGTGGCAAGACACTGCAGTAGCTTGCACCCACATGGCAAAGAGGGAAGAGAGGCTGTGGCCATTTTTAGGCTGCATACATTGATATAAATTATGCATGTTTTGATACGAGGGTCCTAAAGTCAAGATACTGTTCGGTTTTTAAGTAACCCTGGTGAAGTTTAGCTATTGTGACCAATAGTTCCCTCCTGGGTCCATCCTTCTGATGCCAGCCCAGCTTGTCACTCAGAGTCCAGCTCTCCTTTGAGGCCGTGCTGGCTATCACAGGCAACATTTATCACGGTCCCGGAAATGCAGGATGGGGGCAGTTGCGAGGAGCGGGGCAGCAGCCACCAAGACGCACACAGCCACCCTGTGGCTTTCTCGATGTTTTCCTTGTGACAGAGCATGGTGACTTCTTGGCCTTGGATCTCGGAGGAACAAATTTCCGTGTCCTGCTGGTGAAGATCCGTAGTGGGAAAAAGCGGACGGTAGAGATGCATAACA